ATAGTGGAGGATGTTCTTTTCTGGGTGGATAATCAAACTAAATGGTCCTCCTAATTGACAATTATTCTGGTGATATGTTTACCATTTTTCCTGCCTCTAACATCAGCTTGAGGGAACGTATATTAAAGTACTGACTGATAAAACTGACAGGTGGCACTATAAAGAGAGAGAATCAGTGATATTGTACCTTACACTTCATTGGTTCCAATGTTATGCTTGAAGCATGGACTGATTTATGGTTACTTTTCAATCTGAAATGCTTTTCTTCACCTTCAAGCACACATTGAAATGCTGCCATCCATTTACATTCCGCTTTTTCATATTGCTAATACATCTGTTTATACGCTTGCTGCCTAACTAAAAGGGGATTCCAGGCCTTGTTTTATTTAGAACAGATAAAACTGAAAAATAAGTGGAAATAAAAGTTACCCACAGTTAGCTATAGAGTTTTAAGATCTGCTTTATCTTAATTTCAGTAAAACTTACAATATAAAATCTTGAAATCTTAGAAGTCACAAAAATCTTGTCTTGTTTCCTCTTGGCCAACTGAATCTAAATGTCCCCTGTTGCTCTATGCAAATACAGACACCCACAAACAGAAACGCACATGCACATGACATATGAGGAGGCTTACTGAGAGGTGAAAGCATAAATTAGGAAAACACGCTCCCTTTGGTGAGCTAATAGCTACCTGCCAGCTTTATTTGGCCACACACGTGGCTTAGCATCTGTGCTGACCTAGACTTGCTCTGTCATTTTACACACTCTTTCTTTCTATCATCTTTCTTTCCCTCTGTGACCTAGAAGTATGTCTTCTTCCCAGGGAGACTTTTACAAAAAGCTAAAAAAAGATTCACTTTTTCCTCTCCTATGGACGAAAGAGAAATGGAGACATATGGGAAGGACTCCAACCAGTCTTAGAGTGTTGTAACAATAGATAATTTAGATGGAATTTAAAAAAGGAAGAGTGCCCAGCTAAGAACTAAGATATGCATGGCTGCATTTGGATATAGAAGTATAACAGGCACCTGGTAAGAGCACCAATTGATCCCCATTTTTTTCTTTTTATAAGAAATAATACAAGAACCAGGAAAGGCTAATTAAAACATACAGTTATTAATAAATTTTACATATTGTTGAACATATAAAATCTTTGGATCAGATAAAATTTCACCTACCTTCATTGTACTTTAGGTACTAAACATTAGTAACATTTCCAATGCAAATCCGAGTCCTGATTCTTATCCCAATGACAATTAGGTTTTAAACTGGATGCAAAGCTGCAGGGATTTCACTTAAAACGTGATGTAATGGGTTAGAAAACAGGATGTAAATACAGTCACCACTTGAGTGAAAAGAGTAGAAGGAATGCAAAAGAAAATTTAGTTCAAAAAATGTCTTTGTTTCCCAGTTTTTTTATCTTTTTTTTATTTTCAGAACTACAAACACTAGCAGCCCTTATTAAAAGGAGCATTTTATATTTATTCATGATTAAATTACATACTTTAGCTGGTCATGATCTTAGACTGGGTTTTTAGATTATAGCTAAAATCTACTAGACTGCTGCAAGAACAGATGTAATGAGCCTCCTTGCTTAATATTCCCCTTCTCTTGTGGTGTTAATGTAAATCAGAAAAGATGACTTTGGTTTTCTTCTGCATTTGTCTGTTTCCATCCCCAGCTACATGTAGGTCTGTGGAATCATTGTTAAATTTGTTTGTTTTCTCCTAATCTCAAGTCCGGGCAATGTGCCTGCTCGTTAGAGTGCAGACATTACATTTTGTTTACCGAGCTTTTAGAAAATAAATATTAAATATCTAATGTATGTGCAGAGTGCATAAAAAAAAAGTGCTCTCACAGTAACAAGATTTCCCCCATGTTTTTTTTTTTTTTTAATGAGAATCACTGAGATTGAACAGAAAATAATCTCAATGTTCTGCTCTGGTGCTGGCATGGTGATGAGCTAAGAAATGTATTGAATTCTTTTAAAATATGTTAAAAATACTGGCTCTTATTTATTCATTATAACCAGCAAATCCATCTCAGTTTGGAAAAATACCTTTTCTGAAAATCAATTTGAAATTGTTTCCACCTTCAGTGATATATTTTATACAGACATGAGATTTGTAACACCTACACCTGTCTGTCTGTCTTTCTGCCCGTCTATCCGTCTGTCAGTCCTTTGACTGAGGAGCTTAAAGGACAACTTAATAGGTAAATGGATGAAGTGTGTTTAAAGCATTAAGCAATCATTAATAAAACCTCCAATCAAAAAAAGTCAAGAAAACCTTGCAAATGGGAGACAAGATCTTCCACAGAATAATTCAAAATGCACAGTAAAGAATACTAGCTAGTCCATAATTTTCTGTTTTACCCGATGATCATAACACTTAGAAGACAATCTTTTGATTGTGGTCATGTAGATCCTGCAGAAAACAGATAAAAGTTAAGGCTGGTTTATACTACGCTTGTTTCTACGCATGTGGAAAACTACTCGAGAAGATGGACCAGCTAGAAGAGCGAGGCGCGCAAGAACGCTGGGACCCTTTTTCCTCCTGGATTTAAGCTCTTTTTCACCTTTATGTCCCTCTGTTGTTGGAAAAACTTGCCTCACCGCCTCGGATGTATCTAGACCCACAGCGTGTTCGTGATTATCCCTCTTGTGTTGTGGCATGGAATAACATAGTGCAGACCATGGTTCAATATTGGGCATAAATCAAAAATATCTGTGACGAGCTCACTGCGACACACTGCTGCTGGGAGTATAACCAACCCTTTAACAGGTGAATGAACGAAGCATGTTTAAAGCATTAAGCAAACAAATCAAAAAGGCAAGATAACCTTGCAAATGGGAGACAATTTCTTTCTCAGCATAATTCAAAATGCACACTAAAGAATACTGCCTGCTCATGACTTTTCTGTTTTGTTCGATAATCATAAAACTTAGAAGACAAGCCTTTTGGTTCTGGTCATGTAGATCCTGCAGAAAACACATAAAACTTAGTTTTTATATTTTAGTAATCTTTGGTCATCTTATCAATAATGCAAGGATGTAAAGCAAGCTTTTACAATTGGATTTGGTGATTTAATGTGACCAAGGAGTGTTGGCAGTATGTATTAGGGACCAGTTAACACTTTGCTTTATTTGGACCAAAAACATCTGATAGGGTACTCAGAAATAAGTTGCTCATGAAGGGCAGACTAGGAGAGAAATTCTGACTTAACTTAGACACAACATGTGAAGCTGCAATTAGTGGGTGTGTTCACTAACATGAGGAGATCATCCAGTCCACCATGGAGTTCACTGTGTGACCATGAATATGCACAGTATTTCATCGGAAGGAATCTATCGATATTCAAAAGAGAAATAAAAGATAAATAGGCTACTACTGCCATCAATGAAACCAGGTAAAGGGAATAGTAGGCAACTGCTGATATATTAAATGCATATACTATTCCCTTATTCATCATACACATGATTTCAAGATACATATCCAATTAAATGTGATATTTAAACAGCGTCACTTATGACAAAATTTTAGGTCATTTTTTATCCTTAGTCTATTAAAGAAAATGCTTAGGATTTTTGTAAAAATTTGGTCAAATACTTCTTTCCTTTTTTAGTGTAGTTTCTGACAAAATATAACAGTCAGTTTTTGTCCAAAAAGGTTTTTAATGAGAATTAAAAAAAAAAACTTACAGTAACCTGTATCGGAAGCATCAGTGGTGAGATAAGCGCCTGACAATAGGTGAAAACTAAGAAAAAAACCCTCTTACAAAATGGTATGCTGTGATTGTTTATACTCTCCTTTTTCAACTAGGGCTGTTGAAATCTGGGACAGGTTCTCACAGCCAAATAACTATCTACATATTAAAAAAGACAATGCCCGCCCATCTCCTTACTTGGCAAAAGTAGAGAGAGTAGAGAGAACAGTAAGGATATTCTGTACGAGAGCTGAGGTCAAATTAAGAGAATTAGGCAAATTAACCCTCCAGTAGAAAATCGAGAAATTTGACTTTGATTTTAACTGAAGTTAAAATATTGTATAACTTTTCATTGTATGAAATTCAATGTGCAATATGTAGCTTGTAACTTGTTGTCATTTGTGATGACACCATGCATTTGGGCCAAATGATGGCACTAATACACTTTCTGTCAATTATTGTGCACCGGGGTCCTGGATTCAACAAAGAAGACACATTTTTAACTTAATTAGTTAGCTCTACACCTGGCCTTGACTAGCCTCAGGTCACTAGGTCAGTTGGCAAGGTAACTGAGTTTGACTCAGGAAGCCAGTATTAAGAAACACAGAAAACAACCAATAATAATAATAATAATCACTTTTTTGATCTGACATTGGAGAAATTTATCTCTGCATTTAACCCATCCCCTTTGGAAGCAGTGGGCTGCCACCGTGGGGCACCCAGGGAGCAATCTGGGGTTAAGGGTCTTGCTCAGAACCCCGGAGTGACAGTATGTGGGAGTGGGGCTCGAACCCAGAACCTCAGGATTTTAAGCTCTATTCCCTAAGCCCTGGGCCACCGCTCCCCAAAATAAGCCAGACTAGGCACGTTTGATAAACTAACCCAGCTTTATGAAACAACACTCTGGTACTGGATGCAGCCGAAACAATGGACAAACATGTTATTGTTTAAGGGTCCAATTCCATCACAGACCAGGGACCTTATTCTTTATGGCAATGCAGTGAGAAAGTGTAATTAGAGATACACACCTTAAGAGGACCCACAGAACCAGGTAACCCCTCTATTTTTACATCTGTGACAGAACTGATAATTATTCAAGTCAGCCAAAAGCATTTCTATTCAGTGCTACTGATATGTGGTCCATTTCTACTTCGTTGCCTTGGTGACATGTGCCTTAAAAAGACAAAACAGCGTCTTTCATTCTCTTGGTCTGTTTACTGAGACTTGTCATCCAGTAAGACAGTGAACTGTGAATCAAAGAGGTGAAAAAAACATGCAGACACACACATCCCTACCTGCCAATAAGGAGGAATTCCCCATACACCCCAAGTCGTCTCATAGCCATCAGGAGACCGCGGACAGTCATGCCTTCGCAGAAACACACCACTACACGGGCTTTGGGTAGACGTTCCCGTAGTTTTCTCAAAAGGCGATCAAAGTGTTTCTCCCCAGCGTTGCTGTAGATCTTGTCCGAGTGGGCGATGCAAAGGCCCTCTTGAGAGGCCAGTTCCTTGAATGCTTCCATGCCGCTTTCCCCATAGTTTCCTGAAGGTGATTAATAAAAGAAGGATTATTGTCCCTATTTTTTCTTCTAAACATATGTACTGTTACTTTTTACCCTGACAGAACTTGTTTATAGAGACAAGTAAATACAAAACCTTTCTTTTTCTCTTTTGGGTTACCCTTTTATTCAAGCAAATTTAGATGTCAGCTACAGATACTTGCTGTTTCCTCGTAATGGTTTAATATCGAAAGGGAAAAAAAATACATAGAAACCAACTAACAGGAGTTTTTTTTTTTTTTTTTTCTTCAAGGAACACCTTGTTTTTTCACAGCCAATCAAGCACTGATTTTTTTTTTCATTGCACATTATCAACGTAATTTGAATGAGACACAATCATTGTTATACCTAAAGCACTGTTCCCAGCAGTCTCTCACTGCCTCAACCTTTGACTGACCCAAGGCTCTGATCCACTGATAATGAGAGTCAGAGCTGACTTGCTGCTGATTGCAATCAAGCCCAAACGGGGTGAAGATGACTGCCCTGGTTTAACTCTAAACTGTCCCAATCAACAGCCTAGCAAATCCGTTTCTATGTCTAAATCTTCTCTTTCCACGTTGACTGCAGTGCTGCTCTGAATTGATGAGAAAACCCGCATTACACTGGATTACACAGACAATCCAATCACTTGTGAGTGCTGTAACATGTTCTTGCATTTGAACAGACATGTCATCATAGGGAAATTAGAAGCACCTCATATGGGAAAACATCTGTATTGCAGTTGAGCAATGGCAATGTTCCTGGAGGAACTCCGTACCATGCTCCTTTGTAAGGTTGAGGAGGAGCAATAAGAGTCTGTACATGGGGTCGCTTTCCATAGCTGCTGAAATAAACATCAGGGTGATACATTTACGCAGTCACACAATGCGTCCATGTGTGGGTTTGCCAATAGTCCTTTGATTATATTTTCAATTGCCTCTTTTCATTCTGCTGCAGGTAAATGGAAATAATGCTATCCAATTATTTCACTCTCTACATCCCAGCTATGAGACGGGTGGGTGGTGGTGCATTCGTTGACGCCCCACCATGACCACCAAAACAACAACAAAAAACGTGCACTAAGCATTCATCACCAGACAGAGGATAATCGAAACAGGTAATTTATGCAATTTCACAGCTCTAGCTGTTGCCACAGGCAACAAGCTGCACTTATAACTTGTCTTGGGCGGTGGAGGGAGAAAAGTGATGAGCTAAAGCCAGTCGTGACCACAAATTCAGAGGTTATTAAGAGGTTATTATTAAGACCAAACAACCAAGTATGGTACATTGGAAAAGTATTAACACCCATTTTGTCATTGTGTATTTTCAAACTTTAATGAGTTTTATTCCAATTATATGTGATGGGAAAACACAAAGAGGCTCAAAATTGTGAAGCAAAGAGAAAATTGCTATATATCGGTTTGAAAGCATTTCAGCATCCACAGCAGGATGCAGGTATAATAACGATCTATAATTAAATCTGCTTTAATCTTCTACCAAATCATGTCCTGTGGTGCTTCATGATGCTGTTTACTTTCTGACAAACCACTGAACCCTCTCAATAACAGAATTTTTTATACTGAGATTAAATCCCACACATTTGGTTCCATAGGTTGTTTTAGAGTTGCATGCCACACTTTTTAGTCTTGTTGCTTGAAATCGAACAGAAGAATAGAATAGAATTTTATTTTATTGTAATTACAATCGTCACAAGTACAAAGCAGTGTGAGGATTAAGGGTCTTACTCAGAGACCAAGAGTGGGAGTCTGTGGGAGTGGGCATTGAACTCAGAACCTCTGGGATCCAAGCGCAATGCCCTAACCATTAGGCTATCCCTCCCAAAAAAAAAATGCTCTCTCACTCTCTATATCACATGGCTATACTTTGCATGGTTGGTTAATCAAATTAAAGATTGAAGGCGGGGCTGTTAAAACTTTCCCATTCATACCAGCAAACAAGAGTTATAAAACATTGCCTCAGTGACATCTCTAACATCTATGTTAGGAGTATGTGATCATTTTGATTATTTCATGCAGAAGGCAGTTTGGTGAAAAATATTCTGATAATGCTTTTTTATGTTTAAGTTAATAGATTAATTTAGTACTGTTGATTTATAACCAAAAAAAAAAGACTTTTGACCCTATTTGTGATTTGCTGCAAATATTTGTTGAAAGATCAGATCCATGCAAACTCATCAGTGTCAGGTAAAAGAGAAATTGTCAATTAGTGTAATACAAATTATAATTTATGTTTGTATATTAATACAAAAAAATATTATTTTACTGTTAATTTCATTCAGTCCCCCAGAAGCATCAGATATCTGATGTCACCTGGATAGTCCTTCAGGCACTTTCCTTAACCCTCTAACTTTTATGTCATGCCAGCATTTGTTCATCTCCCAAATCAAACTATAATAAGATTCTCCAAAGATGTTTTACACTCCAGGCATGTCTAGAGTTCCTAAGGGAGAGATCCTGGTTAATGCAGCTTGTCAGTCATAATTTGGGTGCACATCACTGACTGTGTTTCACCAAGACTTTAATGAAAACCCACGGACATAATTCATTTCACAGTAATTACTCTGTCTACTCAACCCGTCTCTCCCTGTTATCTCCTGTCTCCACCATAACACACAGGTGAGCAGCTTGGGTCCAGATATAAGGAAAATTTTCAAAAAGCAAGGAAACTAATCATGATGTGAAAAGCTGAATTCAACTGTATTCAGGAAAGTTGAATGTTAATTTGAATTAATAGGCATCAGATCAAATTTGATAAAAACTTTTGTAATTATGAGTCATCCCCGTTTCAGTAAAACATGTATAAAATATTAAAGTCTACAGGATTTTCAATCCTAAAGTTCTGAAACTTGTTTTGTAGACCATCCAAAGTTCACACCTTTTCCCTGGTAACAAACCACATTAAGTGTGAGGCCGTAGAAACAATAGCTGCACTCTTTATACGCTTAGAGCACAGAAGTAGATGTGAATGCTATAACAAAGTGTGAGGCAAAGAGAGTGATACAAAGTTCAAATTTAAAAGGTAGACATAAGAGAACAAGTATGGTTGTTCTGGGGTCAGAGCGTATTTATATTCCAGTATGAAGCCCGAAGGACCTGTGAAGCCCCGGCAGAATGTGATCCTCAATATGTCAAAGTGTATGAGTTTTCTATAAAAGTCACAGCTAATAGGCTGTTGTGTCACTCTTAATGAAAGCAGTGCTTAATGTTATTGTTAATTGAAGATCCTATTAAATGGAAGCAGGTCAAAATAAATTAACGATTATTTTAGAGACAACGTGGTTCCTCAAACACAGTGCTGTAATAGATTCAATCTAATAGATCTTAAGTAGAAAACAAAGACACATATTTTTTTTTTAACTAATGATGCCTTACGGACAGCAAGCTTTAGCCCTGATGTTGATATGTACCCATCTTTGGAAGGCTAAAGGAGTCACAACCAAGTAAACAAATGCATAAATAAAATTATTTTATACCAGAATTTAAATTAATCTGGGAATAAATAAATATTCAGAAGTTAGTTTGGATTGGATTTAAAATAAATGCATGCAAAACAGAACCTTATAAAGACCGATTTAAACAGCAACTAACTATTTTGTTTAGTAGAGAACAGATATTTTATTGATGAAGATTAATGATTATAAGGATTTTACTTATTCATTACTAATTTCTTATTAATAAAATGTTCTGAGAGATTGTCTTTCTTCTTTGAATTATGACTTTCTAGACCATCAGAAATTAGATGAGTCAGTAAATAGTGGAGCTAACACTTATATAGATAATGCTGATGAGCTTAAAGTTCAGCTGATATGCAGGGTAGCCTGTCATATGCTGGTTTGATACATTTCCTGAAATTTGAATGCTGAATGAAAACTTTTTACTATTTACGAATATCAAATTTTCACTGACCTTAAATTTGCCTTACATCAGGCATGTAATAGACGCTTTAAACAATCCAATTAGTGTGCTTGTTTTGTTGAGCGCTCGTTAACAGTGAGATTACATTTACAAATGACTCATAAAGAGAGATCAGTGAACATGTGTAAGAAAGGAGGTTACAGTGCACCATTAAAAAAAAAAACCTTTATTAGTCATATTTTTGCTCATTTAAAAAAAAAAATAAGAAGAATTACAGTTGATTTAGGTAATCAGATATCATCTTATATATTCAATTATTAACTATTATTTTCTGGATTTAGACTTTTCGTGTATTTCAGGTTATTCTTATCTACAGGTTTAAAATAAAGGTGTATGCTTTTAGTCTCACCCTCAGTGTGAACAGCAGACACGTAGGTCCAGTTGTAACGCTTAACGATATCCAGCATGGCCCGGGCCTGCAGAGTGTCTGAAGGAACCACCCTCAGGAAGTACTTGAACAAAGTCTTGTCACTTAGGTCGATGCTTGTGGCTGAGTAGGCGATCTGTGGGATGTTGAATAACTGTAACAGGTTTTGCACCTGAATGGCCACAGAGCTGGATCCGGGGCCAATGACTCCTGCTATGGGTTTTTTAGAAGGCGGTGGTTGATTAGAGGGGGTTCCGTCGATGCACCATTTGGACCCATCCTTATCATCCCGAATTGAAATAAGGGAGTCCCGGATAAATTCAATGCTCTGTTCCAGGGCCACAGATGAATGCCAGCAAGAGTCTCGGATCTCACAGCCCAGGCTGATGTTGGGGAGCAGGTGTGGATCGGCGTTGATGCGGTCAAGCGTGTGGAACATGGCCTCCACCCTCTGGATACCATATTGCTCTCGGACGTCCCCGCACTTTCGCTCTGCCACCTTCTCGGCGGACGGCTGGTGGTGGACAGAGAAGAGGGCGCCAATTATGACGTCCCCATCCATGCGGGCCACGGAGCGGGACACGGCGCGGGGTACCGCCGACCTCTCGTGGATGCTGCTGCTGTGGGTGAGCACGAGGCACGCGGGGAGACACAGGAGAGCAAAAAGACCCATCTTTACGCGTGCCATATCGTGCCACACAGCGTGATCCGTACCGAATCCGATGGCATATTATCTGCTGTCTGTCAGGGCTTCCACGGTTATCTCTTCCATTACCTGTGAGAATGAAGCTTGGAGTGTATCCGCAGGCACCTGCAGGAAAAAAAACCCAAGAAAACTGTTGAGTTATGAAAAAAAGAAGGCTGCTAAGTTTATGCTCTTTTTTCACAGTGTCATTGAACAAGACTCTTGATACGTCTTTATTTTATTTATTTTTTATATAACACCTCTAACTATTCCGCCTGGTAAGTGCTGCTGCTACCAGTGTGATCCTTTAAAGAAGATATCAGAAAGCGGATTTCAGCACCACGGACAGCGCGCTTTCCAAACACGTAACAAGGACGTCCCTGGGACTGTTCCCTGCACGAATCATTCCATCAGAGCCAAACTCTTCCCCAATCAACCTAATCAGCGTATTAGTAAAACACTCCTTATCTTCAATTTTACATAGTACAGGTAAAAAAGCTTCCTTTCTAAGCTTTTCTTTTGTCTAGCTTATGTGTCTTTATTTTTTCCCTCGTGCATCTTTTTCACCGGATAGTCAGTTATTTATTTTTTCACCAGCTGATTTCTAATTATTAACAATGAAGCTGAACTTGTCTGTTTCTTGTATCATACGGATTGCCCCCTTGCATCAAAACTTACCTCAGTTTTTGGATCATGTCTTGTGCCTTCATCCGTCTTCTGTGGCGCGTGGTCCTCCTCGGTATTACTTGAGTTTCTCTCTCTCTCCCTCTCGCTCACCCAACTCTAAACGTGAAAACGTGGACCCCTCCAGTCCTCTGCACCCCGCTCTCACATTCGCCTTTTTTTTTTTAGAGGTGCCTTTGAGTCTGTATCTTTAAGTAGATTTTAATTAGTTTTACCTGAAGCAGTTCAAACAAAGAAAAATCACAGAATCTAAAAACCAGAATGCCTATTTTGAACAATATTATTATAAGCAGTCCATATCTGATTTTAATGGCTAGTCGGCTAGGACAAAATGCTTAAATGCATTAAATGTATGCTTTCTGAAATGATGGGAGAAAATAAAATGTTAGTTGTTGAATTAGGCTACTTTAGTTAGTAGATCGCAAGCAACTACCAACAAGTCAAACTCTAGTTTATATTTATTGATGTTCATATTTTATGGATGGCCAAAGATGTCAAAATATTGTTCATAAATTATGCAATAGATGCTGATTATGATTGAGACGATAAATAACTAAATAGGGCTTAAAAGTAAAAGACATAACTGTTTTTTTTTTTTTTTTTTATATCAACATTGCAACTTCTGAAAATATATTAACTATCAGCCTGAAAGATATTGAGTAAGAAAAAAAAGGAATTGAAATGACAAAAAGCATAAGGGCATAAGTACTTAGTATACTTAAGAAAATTAATGAATAATTTGTCAAAAAAACATTTCTGGTAAATATACCCCTGTCGTCTTAATGTAGGCGTCTCTGGTGGGAATTTGGCAAAAAAACAAATCTGCAAAAGCTATCTTCAACACCTTACCATGTTGATGCTCTAGCACTATTCTGACTGTGTGTTCTTAATAAAGCTTTTTATTGTTAAACAATTCAGGTGATTGATTGGATCCACCTAAAAAACTTCTTGTTTAGCGTGATATTTTGGGGGTTATCTGCAGAACTCCAAACCTGGTGTTTAGGTGACATTTAAGCAGTTCCTCTTTGCCCTCATCTGACTAGTCTCTATTCTTTCAGGTGTATATTGGTGTGCCATATGTTCTGCACCGAAACATAGCATATTTTTCTACAGCAGTCAAGTCTTATGCAGTGAGTGTGTTTAAATGTGACCATTTTTACTTTTTACTATTATTTTTGGTCTTTCTGAAACTCTCCATTGATCCTGCTAGCTCTCTGAAAAAGATTCCTCAAGATGTTGCAACTCAGAATAGAGGTACCCAATATTCAAGGCAAGATAGACAGTGGGATAACTCAAAAAGTGTTTATTAAAATAAACAGGATCTGTGGATCTGCAGTAGCAGGGGCTAGGGCGTCTAAGCCAGGAACCTTTACAGGAGAGAAACACAGGTTAGTGACCACAATGATCTAAAGGAGGATGGTTATGATTGCATGAGTCACTAACCTGGTTTTACAGTTCAGTCTGTGCCCAGATAACGAGGATGATTCCAGCTGGTCGAGTGACAAAACACAGCGGACGCTGCCAGAGAGTTCCAGAC